CCCTCCCTGAGTGGAGCTGCGCCACGGCCATCCTTTTCTGTTGTCCTTTGCAGGAGGAAAAACACATTGCGAGCGACGAAACCACACGTCATGCATGCGGCGTCCAGGGAGGTACGTATTTGAGGTGGAGCGCACATATGTGGATGTCATGTGATACGAACCGGGGGTTGACTGTCCAACCGTCACTCCTTTTCTGGAGAGTGTGCTCTTCTTTTTTTTTTGCCCTTTTGCGTCGGGGCACGGCGGGATTGGGGAGCACCGTCCCACGAAATGTCTTGCACAAATACACACTCTCATGCCACTGTCGCCCCCAAAGTCGGGTGCAAAACCCAAATTTCAGCTGCTTTTTGCGTTGGCGTAATTACTTATTTATTAACTGATGCCATCCTGTCCGGCGTGTCACTTTGATTGGATTGTGTGGAAGTGCTCGCCAACGCCATCGGAGAAAACAGGCTGACGGCTTCACGTATTTAAGTGCCGTTTTGCGCGCACGTATTTTTTACTTGTTCTGTTGGGCACTCAGCCGCCGAGGGATCCGGAACTATGCGTGCGTGGAATTTGTCCTGCCATGTGAACTGCGGGCAACACCGAGGGTCTGTCACTTTGACTCCGCAGAGTTGTTGTGTCTCTTCGCAGGGTTGGCAGGGAAACTCCATGCAGCCAGCTACTGCTGGTGTGTCCCCCAATTTGTCACTCCATGCGAATAATGTGCTTCATCGAGTGAGGGGGATGATTGGGTTTGTGTGCACTCTGATTCTTTTTGCTACTTTGTGCGGGCACGCTAGACTTGAGGGATGGGAAAATGGAGCGGGGCGATGCATGGCCGCGTCTCGCCCATCGTTCACTGCACGATGGTGTGGTGCGCATTGTGGTTTTGACTCTGCGATGTGACTGCGGTCTCCTGTGCGGCAATGGCGGTGGGTGGAGGAGAGTGTTGAGTTGCATTGGGACGGTGGGATTGTGTTTTCCTTTTATTCTTTTGTGAAGCTGCACACTCATTACTAGTGTTGGTGATAGGGCAAACGGACAGACAAAGTAAATAAAATAATAAAACAGAAAAGGGCGATAATGTGGCGGTGTTGTGGCCGATTGCACGTTGTGTTGCTGCGGGGGTGGCGGCCCTTGACTGTTTCGCCGACAGGCGTTGCAGTGCGGCTGCATGGCGCACCGACCACCCCGTCGTGCGAGTGCCACGCCCAACGCCATTGGGACTGCGGGAGGAAACAGCCGCGACTGTCCTTTGGAGCCGGCGGCACCTGCTGGCCGCAGTTGGGCGGTGCGAGTGGGATGCTTCATCGCACGGGTGTTGTGATGGCACCTCGCCGTGGCTCCGGCGATGTTTCCGACGCTGCGACTCGCAGAGGAGTGGAGGGAACGCAGCAACCAAAGTGGACCACGAGCAGCAGCGTAGAGGACATTCTGCTGGGTGGAGACACTCTCAGCACCGACATGAAGCTGAACGATTTCCTTTGGGATTATGTTGGCCGCTTGGCGGCCGTTGATGAAGACCACAACGTGACGATGGAGGTGTTTCTTCAGGAGCCGGATGCTTACGTACAAGACCAGCAGCTTCTTAGAATTATTTTTAATTTAACAGAGTACCAAGAGATGAAAAGAGAGTTGGATGAGATGAAAATTCTATTGGAGGATATTACTAAGCTTCATCACGAGGGTGTGTTTTCGATTGAACAATGGAAGGACTATGAAGTAAAGGATACGATCACTCCTCTTGCAAGGGGAAAACTAAACGCAGCCCTCACTCAGATACTGAAAGTAGAACGGCGGGAGGCAGAGGGAAGGCTAAGACGAGCGCAAGGAATGAAATTTACCTTTTCACTACGATCGAAGAAGTACTGTTTAAAGGAGGAGTCCGCGTCAATGAAATGAAGCTGAAAGACTTTCTTGCGAGGGAACTGGGCGGCAGGGGCGTTGTGGACACCAATCGGAGTGTCTTGCTGAAGGAGTTTTTTAAGGATCCCAATAAATGTATCCCTGATAAGGGATTATTGAAAGAAATACAGGCATCCGATCGTTATGCGAGGATGGAGGGGACTGTGAGGGATGAAATGGATATGGAAGAAGATGTACACAAGCTTTACAAAAATGGCGTGCACACTTTACTGAAATGGTCAGAAGCTGCAGCGGAGGTAAAAGCAACTGTTCATGGCATCACTAACGAGTTTTTGGATGTGGCCTTTGAGGAAGCGAGGATCCTAACGACGACGAGTGCACCGGAGAAACTGGAGGGGTTGTGCGAGTCTGTGTACAGTGCGAGGTGGCATCATGTGGTGGAAGTTCCTGACGACAAAGGAATGGGAATGGATGTGAGGGAGGGGGAGCCACCGCAGTCATGGAAGTACAGGGAGGTTGGTGACACCCTCGAAAAGGATGACGATGCGCAGCAATCCGGTGCACCGCGTCCCAGGCTGATGGTGCTCACCTCGGACAAGGGATGGCCGTACTCGTGGAAATGGAAGGAGGATGAATAAATCCACTCGTGACTGCCATGTGAACTGAGAGGTGGAGCGCGTGTGGCAGATTGTCAAGGGCGATGTAACCGAGTGGTTCAACAGTCTTTCTGAGGAGCACTTTACGCCAATTCCGCACATCTTGATTGGGACGCCCGGGATTGGGATGTCGATGGCTGCCGACTTGTACCTCCTCTACCAGCTGCTGCACTGCGATGCGGAGCAACTCCAAATGTTTGTGAGCTTTGTTGGTGGAGTTAAGGCGTAAGTGTCTGAAAAGACCATCAAGACGGTGAAAAAACACATCGATGAGAACATATGATCAAACTTGTGAAGGACCCGTCTTGGCGCGGGATGAAGGGGTATATTATCTACGAATTGGGAGGCAGGTTTGATATTCTGCCTCCTTGTTTGCCTCCCGGAGAATGGGTCATGCTTGTGGTGGCCACACCAGAGATAACAAGTTACATACATTGGGCGAGTGAAAAGAGAGCCGTACGAATCATAATGAATTGCCCTGATGAGAGCGACGTGAAGGCAATGTGCGTTTGGAAGAAGCGCAATCAACCCGTGTAGCAGCAAGCGGAATACTGGCGAGAGGTGAAGGGTCGCATGGATAAAGTGGGACCGATTCTTCGCTACATCTTTGATGAAGGGAATTGTAACGCACGGATCGACGGTTGCCACAGCTTTGTGGATAGGACGCCCTTTTGGGGAATCGAGCGTTACTTTGCTTTTGGAACTTCCAAACTGTGGGAGGATAATAAGGCGCTCGAATATCTTGCGAGGATTGTCCGAGTACGAGGAGAGCGCAATGGCGAGTCGCCTTTCAATGCACCGATGACTGCCCACCTCGCAATTAAAACACTGTGCATGTTGGCACAGTTAATGACGCAGGCTGAGTTTAATTTATTTGAATCGAGGATTGGTGATCATCTCATATACGCAATTTTTTGGGAAGAGCACCGTGTTTGCATTTTTGAATGTGACTTTTATGATTGAAATAATTTGTAAACTGAAGGAGCTGAGGCCACCAACACGACGTGAGTCACACCGCTGTGCGCCGGAGGTGTACTCACGGGAGCGCCCCATCAGCCACTATTTTTTTCCGTCTGTGGAAAAAATTGACAAGAAGACTTGTATAAACCACCGGCTGCTTTAAATACCGGAGGTTGAGAAATTTCCGTTGTTGGACGCCTTTTTCTTCATGGAGTCCAATCCGAGGACGCTGGTTGGGCTGCGGATGACTACGGCGGGTGGGCACCACACCACCGCCAGCACTGTGAGGCAGTTCACTGAGTGCCTGGCGGAACATTTTAATGATTGGGGGGAATTATCCCGAGACATGTCGTGGGAGATTATTTATGTGCAGCACGCAGACGGCACGCCGATGAATGACTGGCTGGCGGAGATGTGATGTTGTAAATTCCAATAACGTGATCGAGAAGGAAAAACAAAAAATTGCGGCGTTCTGGAAGGAAAAGGTGCATCAGTACCAAGTGCCAATATAATCCTAAGACCTTAGAAGATAAGACGCTCACCGCAGTGTGGAAGAAACACCGAAATATGAAAACAAATTAGGGAGGGAAGGGGGCAGTTTTGATTTCAGGTAAAAAGTACTGTGAGATATATATATTTTTGGATACGTGTGTGTGTGCATGCGGTGCGGGTGCACCATCCCCATGCGGTGGCACCGCACACAAATGCCAAAATGTCCAACGCTATCGAACATAACAGTGACAGAAGAAAATTAGGGAGGGAAGGGGTTGTTTGGTTTCTGGTGAAAAACATTGTGTGGTTTTTATATGGTATGATAATTGTGTGCGCGTGCATACAAGGCATAGTTGGAGAATTGCCCCGGTATGAGAGAATCATTGTGGCTGGCGGTGTCGCAGTAATACCGCATTGTTTATTTCCTTCTATTGTGTTCTAAGGCCCATCAATAACAGAAGCATTTTCAAGGGATGGACGAAGAATAAGTTCTATTGAGAAATCAGTGCTTCCGTGTGACCGCATGGAGCGAGACGCCGCGTCATGGATGGATGAGGAATCGCTTCCGCGTGTGGCTCTTTGGGTGATTGCTTGCTCCGTGTGCGTTGTGTGTCGGCAGCGGGCTGTGGCCGTATCCCGTTGGCCGTGGGCTTGAACTGGAGGCGATGGCGGTGAGTCCCTTCTCGTTCTTGTCAATTGTGGTTGATTACTGGCTCTGTGTGCGTTTGTTGTGTGGAGGCCGTCTCGCAGTTTACGCACGTAGTGAGCCACAACCGCTGTGAAAGGCCGTGTCTTTTCAGCATGAACTTATTGACTTTACGCGGTGTGTTTGACCATAACTCTCGTTATGTGCATGAGCGCCTTGCGTGTTTTACCGGAGCGTTGGGCGCCACCATCTGCCATGGCCACAATTTGTATGGCTGCGCGTGTG